CATTCTCTGATAGCTAAGCTAAGTTACGTTTATTTGCACTGCTATATATGATCGTGACATCGTGCATATATGCACGTCTCAATAACCTCACTTCTTAAATTGTTTATGGAAATTCTTGGGGCTAGTAACATTTTTTCGAGCATTTCTTTTGCTCCTTTGTCAAATGGACCCAATGGTACCTATTAGTTGTAATTCATGATCCATCTTCATTAGCCTGATGGATCATCAAACAAACAGTACCATCATTATGATCCCTCACATGCTTTTAGTTTTGGTTATTACCCTTTCTTGTTCTGATATGGTTTTGTATTTTGTTTGAATAATGCAGATATCTTTAGCTAAAAGTAGTTAACGAGAACTTGGAGAACTTGGAGAACTTGGAGTTTGGAGCGCACTTGAATAGATTTGCTGTTGTTGATATAGTTGAAGGTTTCGTACTTAAGAAGAGCTGGGAAAGGGTAAGTTTATCAGCTCAGAAGGATTCACGTTCATCAGTAGTTTTCGTACCTAAGAACAACTATTTAGATCTCGTGTTGTGTAGTTATTTGTTAGCGGTATTTCTCGTCTTTCGAATGTCTGAATCTTTTAATTGTTGCCAAAACGTGGTGCTCAGCTCAAGTATGGCTTGATTTTTCAGAAATGAATATTACTAATTGCTTTTATTATTTCTTAGGTGAAAGTTCCATATTGTACAATTTTTTTTTTCCTACTCTGGTTCGAAAATGCTTGATGTTTGAATATTGGCTTGTGAATTTTAAATTGGGTTTTATGCGAAGAGTTCTTATTCTAAGATTATCTTCATGAGATTGAGCTTGTGGGTGATGATAAAGAAAAGCATCCCCAATATGGCGTTGTCCTGGTCTGCTCCTTTCATAAGCTGCTCGATCTAGAAGCGCGACTGTCTTGACGATATTCACATTGACTTGTTGATCTTCGTCATCCCTTGGGTGTCGAGGAGCGAGGAGAGGCAGAGGTATTTCATGATATACTCGTGCTTGCACATTGAGTTATTGACGTAGATTCGGGCGCCGTCTATGTTGCCCTTCTCGATGATGTGTGTGTGTGTCTTGTGCGGGTGTCAAGCGAGAAAGAGGATAAAGGAAAATAAATGAGAAAGTAAGAGGGTTCTCCATGCATAAAGAAGAAAAATAAATATAAAGAAGGAGAGATGTTATGGTCTCGTTACGAAACCATCTTGTCGGATTTGTAACCGTTAAATAATCATGTAATCGTTGGGTATAATTGATTTAACGGTTATAAACTCCGACGAAATAGTTCTATAACAGAACTGTAACATTTCCCATAAAGAAGAACGGAAGAGAGAGATGGAGGCGGAGGAGAGAGTTTTTTTTTTTTTTTGTACAGGGACCTTCCGGTTTCCAGATCCACATGGGAACCGACTAATACGGAATTGAGTCGGGTATGACCACAAGGGCGGCAAAGCTCTCCCTCAATAGTTTTTTCGAATCCACAGGGGAACCGACTAATCCGGAATCGAGCCGGGTAGGACCACAAGGGCGGCAGAACTCTCCCTCAAGAGTTTTAACATTGCTGCATTCTCAGGGCTCGAACACGAGACCACTGGTTAAGCTGGAAGTGACCCAAGCCATCTCATCCAAACGCTCTTGGGTGGAGGAGAGAGAGTTTAACATACTACAATCTAATTAACTCCGCTAACGTTTAATCGTAATTTTTTTTTTTTTCTAGTATATTCCCGTAATTTTTTTTTTTTTTCTAGTATATTCCTTATTATTTACCTTACCTACAACATACCTACAAATAAGTTTTTTTATATGTGCAATTATTTAGCAACAGACTTGATCTAAATTATTTAATAATAGGCTCGGAATAGAAAAATTATTGCTGTCACTTGCTGCATGAACCAAAAAAGAGCCCATGTACCAAAAATGTAGCAAAAAATGTGGATATATAATTAATGGGTCTTATATTATGCACATAGAGCTCGTATAACACCATTACACTAGCCCAATAGAAATTATAGAATTACAGAAAGGTCAAACGGGCCTATCCAGCCCACAAGAAACCTTGATGGGTCACACATAAGAAAGAGCGAGAAATACCCATGAGCCCATGAGATAGGAAATAGTGAACATAGTGGTGTGTATAATTTGATCAAATTAAATGATAATTGAAATAATTACTTGGTACTGTGTTTCTAGATGGAAAAATGGTGTAGAGATGAATGTTAAATGCACTTAAATTAAGTATACTAAAAAATTAGAAGATGTTTTTTTATTTTTCTTTTACTTTTAAATGCATCATTTTATGCCTAATTGATGAAACGAATGATTAAATGAAGGGATTACCCTTTTGGCATATGTTTGCAGCCAGGCCCACCTTATCATCTTCACCACCAGTGACCTAGGGACTACTTAA